CTCCTCCTCCTCCTCCTCCTTCTTCTTCTTCTTCTACTTCCCCTTCTCTGTCTCCCTCATTTTGATATTTTATTGATTGAATTGGGGAGATCAGAACACGACTGGCACGATGTCACCAGGATAATATCTGTAAAAATATAAACAGAATGAAATAGTCTCTTTAATAAGAGCACGTAACTTACTGAGACATCAAGGTTTTTTTAAGACTCTGAGTTCAGTCTTTGGTTCTCCTCCAGGAATGGCAGGAATCAGAAACCACATTAATCGTCCTGGCCTGTGCTTATGTATAGGCAATCTGAACTTGAGATGGCAAGAGAAAATACAACAACCACCAAATACAGCTGCAGACCCTACTGTCTCCTCTTTCCTCAGCTCGTTAATTTCCAGTTTGGATCTAGGATATCAGATCTTCAGGCTACTTCATACTTGAGTGTTTCTTATCTAATTGTTGACTCCCTCAGGGAAGAAGCTGTATCTATTTTATATTCCTAGTGATCAGAGTACCCTGGCACACAACTGATGCTCAACTTATATGCCACCAGCCTTTCCCCTATTAGCTCTCAGGGCCTTTGTACTGAAATATGTGCCCAGTCCTCCCTCCCTCCTTCCCTCCTTCCCTCCTTCCCTCCTTCCCTCCTTCCCTCCTTCCCTCCTTCCCTCCTTCCCTCCTTTCTTTCTTTCTTTCTTTCTTTCTTTCTTTCTTTCTTTCTCTCTTTCTTTCTTTCTTTCTTTTTCTTTTCTTTCACTAATTTGGCTAGCTTGAGCTCAAACTTTCGATCTTCCTGTCCCAGCTTCCCAGAATGCTGGCATTACAGGTGTGTGCCACTATGCCCATGAATGGAGGATCTGACAGGAATACAATCCACAGGCTTAGAGCTGTGGGTTGGTGATGATCTGAAATTTCAGCTGTCCCCTCCCCTGCTAGTTCTCCATGGGCAATTCTTCAATCACTCTTGCTGGTGCTGTATCAAGTACTCCCATCACTCTGTCTTCTAGGCACAGGGTAGGATGGCATTTCCTGTGGTTGTTGTTGGGGGTACCAGGTGATTACTTCTTGCCAGTGGATCATGAGAAAAAGTAACTATGTTCCTAGCCATGGACTGTAAGTCAAAATGTCACTTCCTGACTGTTTAACTATTAGTGTGAGACCCTCAAAGTTCTCTGCTTTTGCACATGACTGACAATGTTCAACACAGAGGATGCTCCACCCACCTACCTCTTGAGTCACTGCAATAAGCAGTCCCCTTGCCTACCCTCGTGAACATGTAGCATGAATAAGAAATAATTCTTTGTTGCTTTTGGCCTCCATGGTCCTGGGATTGTTTGTCACCATGGCATAACACAGGCTTATTCTAACTTGTCAGTTCTCTCTAATGCTTCTCCTGCCTTTCCCTTGACCCATGAACCTCAGATCCCTTTTTCGTTCAGTTTTCTATCTAATCATCTTGATTCTCTCTTCTCCACTCAGTTATTCACTTCTTGAACAAATATTCCCTGAGCATCAGCAGGAGACAGAATGTGAAGAACTAGAGGAGGAACCAGACATGCCCTCAGGAACTCACAGTCTGGTGGACTTTCCACTCCTGGTAAGTTCTATCTCAGTCATCTTGAAGATTGCATCACAGGCCATCTGGTTTGTCCATGGAGAGTGAGGTTAGAAGCTGCCTCTTCCCATAATTGTGGCCCCTCTGTCACCACCAGTGCCACTGATGTTCCCTGAGCCTCTTTTGGAAGAGGGGGAAATCACTGGTTCCAGGGCATGGGTCTATGCACAGGGGAACCCTGGAAGTCCACTGTGATGCCCTTCTATGGAGCACCTGGGCACCTGCAAAATCTTTGGTTTTTTATCAGTAAAGAAGCCAAAACACAGAGGGCACTGTGGATGTGTCCAGGTTTACACAGCATCAGAGTTACAAGCTCAAGACTAGACTCGAAGACTCTTGTGTCCTTCAAAGAAAGAATTCCTGCCTTAGCCCTCAGTTCATCTTCAGCATCATAAAAGAACTGCCACAGATGCTGTAGGAATCCATCAGACCCACTGATATAAGGTCTAATGAGGCAGGCTGCAAATGGACGTGAGTAGCAGGGAAGAAGAATTGGGGACTGGAGGGCGGATTCGCTAGAGAGAGGGGACAGAGAGCTGTAGTCACTAACGGGAGCAAAATGAGGAAAGGAGCTTGTCCACCTAAACCACTCTTCTGCCTCAAACCAGGTAAATCTCAGCCCTCTGAGCCACCAGTCCTTCACCTCCTACTGTCCCCTGGGAAGACTTCCTCCAGACCTGAAACACTCCTGCTACATCACCTCAGGTCTCTGGACAACCAGGTACATCACCTTTTTTCAAGAACCTCCAACCTTGAAATGGGTCCTGGGTTAGGGTTTTCTTCTGCTTTAACAAATGCTGAAGGTAGTCACCTTAAAAAATATTCATTCTGGCTTAGAGTTTTGAAGGTTTCAGTCTATGACTGGGGGAACTCCCTGCTTTTAGATACGCGGTGGGCACGCAGCACAACATGGCAGGGAGTGCATGGTGGACCAAAACCATTCATCTCATGGTCAGGATAAGAAAAGGAAAGAGAGGCCGAGACTGGTTCCCCCATAATCCCCTTCAAGGGCACACCCCCAATGACCTAAAGACCTCCCATAAAGCCCCACCTCTTAAAGATTCCATCACCTCCCACTAGCACCAAGCTGAGAGCCAAACTTTAACATGTGAGCCTCTGGGAGACACTTAAGATCCAAACTGCAGCAAGTCCTCTGTGCATTTAGATGCAGGGAGGAGGAAGGGAGGGGAGGAGTGAGGGCCAGATCTGTGTGTTTCAGCCCTTCTACAGCACCCTATCCTAGGTTCCTTCTTTGCCTACTCCCTTGGTTCCTAGCTGTCTCTCTTGTCTCCTACTACTTGAACTGGCACAAAGTTTGTGGCAAGGTGACCCTGTCGTCCAGTTCCAAGGTGGATGGGGAAGCTGGAGACTAAGCAATTAACACACAGTCGGGAGTAAAGGTGCCCAGGGAAATTTCCCGCAGAAGCGAGCCTGCCAGACAGGAAGGTTCAGCAGGCAAAAGGCAGTGAGGGAAGCAGTCTCCTGCATGCACTGTCTGCTTCTTTTTCTCTGGCAAGAAGCCACTGTAGTGGGAGCAGCAGGCCAGGAGGAGGAAAGTCACAGGGTGCCTCGCAGAGAAGGGGGAAGACCAGGCATGGGGAGAGGGTATCCTCCTTCATGCCCCTTCCTGAGGAGGGATGGCCACTGATCCTTGGACCGCCAGCTGCGGTGGACTGCCTAAAGGCTGGAAGAGCAGGCTTTGAGATTCTGAGAGACTTCCAAAGTCACACTATGTGCACAATACACACACTCAACATGGTAACAACAACACAGCAACCCCAGGCACGTGTGCATAGCCACATGTGTCACATACAGGCAGCAAGTACACAACATGGTCATTCATGTGGCAGCACACAATAGTGCACACACACGTAAGTATGTCTACACACACACACACACACACACACATACACAGGAATTCCATCCCAGGTCTCCTTTCCCACTTTCACAAAAGGAATTGGAGATTTAAAACCAATGAATTCCACTTCTCTGCCTCCCCTCTGCACAGCCTCACTCTCAGAAGCCAGTATACATGGCTCCAAACCTTATTCCAAACAGACTGACTAAATATGACATCAGGTATTTGGAGACACCAGCTCATGGCCTGACTGTAGCCTTCTGACTGTAGGACTTTGGGGGCATCCCAATGTCTCTGGGCCAGTTTCCTTATCCACCCACTGGGCTACTAGTATGACAGAATAAGCAGTCTCCATTGGTGGGACAGTGGTGAGGTCACTTTGCAAACTGCAGGCTATATGCACATAAATGTGACCTGCCCAGTCCTAGAGGAGGCCCCCATCCCAAGTATGCACGGGCCTCCCAGGACCCTCTGATGGGTCCCCTATAATAATCCAGCCAAGTTTGCTCTTAAAGGACTCACTGTAAGATCCCTACTTACAGTTCCAGAATATAGCTCAGTGGCACAGCGCCTGCCTGGCAAACTCGAGGTAATGAATTTGATTCCAGGTACCAAACAAACAAACAAAAAAAAACTTGCAAAGATCTTTTCATTCCAGTTTTGACTTTGTGTCCAACACTCACTCATTCAGTCATTCACTCAACAGCTATGGGATACCAGGAACTGTACACGATATTAAAATGGATAGGGTCTGACCCTTGCTCTCAGCAGCTCATATTCCAGTTCAGTATTCTGTTAGTTCTTAAAATCCCAATACTTGGGCCCCAGCCACTGAGACTCGTAATCAGTTGAACTAGAGTGAGACTCAGGCATCTGTGGCAGTAAAAAGCCTCTGAGGTGATTCTAATGTGCAGTCAGAGCTGAGACCCATCCCCCTAGCGGAGAAATTAGACATACACCAAAAGACAGAATGGGACATTTTTGCAATAGATGCACACACAGTAATAACAGCTAACATTTATGGAGTCATTTGGTATATGTGCACCCAGCAGTTTGCCAGTTCCTACATTAACATATTTGTTCTTCCCTAAAGCCCAGTAAGGCAGATCCCACACTGCCCATTTTACAGATGAATAAATGAAGCTCAGGAGATCAAGTAACTTACTCAAAGTAAGACTTCCTTAAAAAGGTGGCATTTGTGCTGAACCTGGAAAGGTGACAGAATTTTGCTCTGGAGAGAGAAGAATGGAAGGATGGGGGTGTTTTCCACCTGGCTGGTTGTTAGAACTTCATGACCTAAGAAGATTTTTAAATTGTGGGATGAGGGAGAGGGGAGCAGTTAGCAACACTACTGCCTGGGACACTGACATCTAGATAGGAGCTGCTGGGAACTTAGGTCACAGAGGCCGGAGGGGGTCAAATGATGGAAGAGAATATTTTAGGACAAATAAAAGGTAGAGCTACTTTACTCAGTGGGTAGCAGTTATGGGCCCCTTGTTATTATCACCAGAGGTGGTGGGATGAAAATAGAATATCAAGATAGAATCAAAGAAAATAGACCCAGAAGGAGTTTGGGGGAGGAAGCTGGGACTTTACCCTTAACTTTTTGAGAACAGCGATGTGGAAATCAGTTACCATGGCCTCTACTTAGAAACCTCAAAGTGTGGAAGGAAGGGCTTTGAGCCAGGGATCAGAGGCCGAATTCCAGATGCTTTTCTCTCTGAGCCTGGGTATCTGGGGGGCACGAGCAGGAATGGCTGAGCGTCAGTGTGCAAACCACTGAAATTCCACTAGCAGCATCTCAAGGCTGGGTTGCTGGGAACAGTGGGGTCCCCGGGCCTCACCCACTAAGTCCCACAGTTCTGCTTTTCTTTATACTGCACCCTGGCTGGCAGGAAGTATCCCTGACTAACAGTTTCTGCAATCAGAACAGTTTGAAAGTGTAGCTCTGACTTCTAGATTAAGATGGCTTTGTCTCCTCTCTCTCCTAGAACCCCAAAAATGACACAAAGTGCTCAGGGGCTCAGGTCTGGAAGGCTTCAGATGCAGGAGGTAAGAGTGATCTGATGCTAGTAAGAGTGATCATTAATTGTGATGTGTCAACTTGAATGAATTAAGAAATATCTAGCAGATTAGTGGAGCACACTTCCGGTTGTATCTGTGGATGGTTGACATGTACGCCACACTGAGGAAGGAAGACCCACCCTGGGTGTGGGTGGCACCAACCAATAGGCTGGTAGCCCGGATGGAATAAAAAGGGAAAGAAGAAGAAAGTGTTCCTTCTCCTTCTTCAGAGGAAGAGCTCCAGTCTTTGCCTTTGCCTTTGGATATTGGTCTCCAGTTCCTTCAGGCTTCCAGAGTCTTTACCCTGGTTTTCCAACACAGACTCACATCAGACTTTTCGGTGAACTCCAGGCCTTCAAACTTCAACTAGATCTTCTGGCTCTCTTTTGTGCAGACAGCCATTTTGAATTCTTCTACCCCCTGATTCCACAGGCAGCCATTGTAAGCCTACTTGTAAACCCTTCATACAACCATTTATATTATATTATATTTTATATCTGTTCCACTAGTAAACACTAACTGATACAATGGGCTCAATGGAGTCTGAATTGAAGTCCATGGGAGCCCCAGGCCCTCAGAAGTCAGAACTCCTCACTGCCAACTGTACTAGGAGGCTATCTCTATGAGTAGGGGGAAAGGCTTGAAAAGCCAATATGATTTTCAGTTGCAGGAGCAGCCTCCCCATTCAACATTACACACTGAAGTTCAGCTTTCCACTGGCTTTACCACAGAACAGGAAACTCCAGATCAGCTTTCCATACTGCGTGTTTATTTGGAAAGAGATTTCTGAGGTGCAGCGCTGATACCTAAGTCTTCACGTTGTGCTCTAGGGATGTTTCCAGGTGCTATTCATGCAATAAGTTTTCTAATCATCCCAACAATCTGTGAAGTAAGTAGATTGCTGTTCTGCCCCCATTTTACAGATGAGAATCTTGAGAGAGAAAGAAACCAAGCCCAAGTATAGCAATGCTGTGAATAAGCCATAGGACAAACTGTGGATCTAAGTAGCCTGCCTCCAAGACCATCCTCTAGACCACCCATGCTACATGCAATACCACCAAGGCAAAGACCAAGTACATCAAAGGCACGGGGAGGAACAAAGAAATAATGCTGAAAATTTGCTTTAAAAGTCTTTCAGAAAATTCTAATAAATATTTTGAAGATAATGCATTTATATGACAGGAATAGGGTACTATGCAAAAGGAAAAACTATAGAACAAAAAAGGGCTATAGAAAATTGAAAACAAGAATATGAGAGAAAATATACAACAGGTAGTGGAAAACATATCAATTCAATCTTTTGGAAACTAAACAAAGTGACAAAGACATGGAAAATGAAAAATACATGATTTAAAGAACTGTGCTAGATTTTATCATTTGGCGTCATTATTTACTCATCTCAATCTCCAAACTTTTGCCACATGGCCTTGCAGCTTCTACTACTAAAATGGCCTGTTGACTCTTAAATCAGGTTTCACCATCTGATTTGCTTTGGATCAAAGACAGAATGTGACCAAAGGCTTGGAAAACTCTGATGGGATTGCGCTGTCCATGCCATCTTCATGAGAAAAGCATTCATCCCATGAGGACAGAGACAGACATGTGGAGCAGAGATGAACCCCTAGCAAAGACCATTCTTGATCAAGCAACATCTCACCTCTTCACAGATGTGTGGCTTAGCCCAGCCAGCGTTAACAGCCACCCAGCCAAGTTCAGCCTAGAGAATAAGCAATCATGCTTTAAGCCACCGAGTTTTGAGTTGGGTTGTTACGCAACTTTATTACACCCATGGTTAATTCATGCAAGGATTAATCAGGGAGCTAGTACCCAACTAACAAAGAAAATAGTAGAGAATTATCAAAGAAAGAATTCAAATAAATTTAAATTTCCCAGCACTAAAATGTAGGAACTTTCCACTAAAGAGCCTACCAGGTGCTCAGAACAGTAGATAGAGCCACTCAAAGACATAGTACTGTGACATTTCAGAATATATAGACAAAGAATTGATCCTGCAAGTGTCCAGAAAGAAAAGACAGGTTACATACAAAGAAATATAGTTGTAAAATTTCTCAGAGTGCAACAGTGGATATTAAATAATGATGGGGCAGTGCCTTTTAAAGTTGTGGGGAAATTATTTTCAATACAGAATTAATATACCTCAATCTACAACTGAGACATATGTTGACAACGTAAAACTGTTTTAGACATGTAAGGATTCAGAAAACTCATTTTGCAAATACCTTTATTTAGTAAGCTACCAGAAGATATGCACCAGAAAATCTGAGAAATACACAAAGAAAGTAGAATCCAGAAAACAGGATTCAACAAGGGAGACTGGCAGGAGATGCATCCCGAACAAAAGCTTTGCAGTGGGTATAGAGATTAATAGGCTAGACTCGGGGCTGGGGATTTAGCTCAGCGGCACAGGACCTGCCTGGCAAGCGCAACATCGTGAGTTTGATTCCCGGTACCGGGGAAAAAAAAAAAAAAAAAAAAACAATAGGCTAGACTGAAAAAAGAAATTCAAGACTCAAGGAGGTAAAGAATCTAGGAAAAGAAGAGTGACTGACTGACAATCGATGATCTCAAATCATGCTTAAAATCCTGGGTGGGGGAGTGGCTCAATGGTAGAATGCTTGCCTACATGCGCAAAATCCTCCATTCAATCCCCAGCACTCCAAAAAAGTGTTAACTTCTTTTGTAAAAGTCCTAATGATTATGGTATGGCAGATCTGGTACAACATTCAGAAAAGTTCAAGGAAATGATGCCACTGAAATGTGACTCTTGCTTCTGAATATATTTATCAGAGTGGTTAATGCTAGATGCCACAATACATCATGTTTATTTCTGTCTTACACTACATGCTGATAAAGAGGTAGTCATTTCTTTTGTATCTGCGCCTCATGGAACCCATGACCTGCATCACCTTCTCACTAGGGAACAGAGGAGAGTGACATGGGCTCTTACTCGCTTTAATCCAAAGAGATCATTCAGAGCACATATCCCCACCTAACTGCAAAGGAAGTTGGGGCATGGAGGGGAACAGTTGGAAAGTTGATGAGCACTAGCTGTCTCTGCCACATCAGAGGGAGAAAAATGTATGAGGAAGAAAATAACATAGCCTATTGCTTGACTGTAAGTGAGCTACATTTGCACATTCATGATAATGCTCTCGATTTGACTAAAAATTGCAATGTGACTATATAAAAAGAAGGGGACAGACAACAGAGCAAAATCTTCATCTATCATAGCAAAGAGTTCAGAAGTCAGTTTTAACACTGATAAAGCAAAAATAGCTGCATGTGCATATTATTAAGAAGCAAAAGGCAAACATCAAAAAAAAAAAGCAGCTGAAAGAGTTAAAAATGTGTTGTTCTGAAAGCAAGAGTGGAGGTAGAAAGAGTGCGGAAAGAGTGTTTTTTTATTATAAGCCTTTTGACAGTTTTAGATGCTTTATACATATCTTACTTGGATAATTCTTAAGGCAAACAAAAAAATTAAGGATTGGAAAAAAAGCCCTCTGCGTTTGCTGATCATTAAGAACCCTTCTGACCCAACTGTCTAAGGTTCTTGAATTTCAAGCATCTAGAGGAGAAAGCTTGTGTCACCAGTGACATGCATCTGAATATGATCTATCATAGGTTGGAGAAATGAAAACAAACGTGGCCACAATGTTCTAAGCATGAGCAAGAGGGGTCCTTGTGAGATTGTGAACCCTGAGCTACAGCCAAGGGAACCCAGAATGGGCAAGGCTGCATCCTGGAACATCCAGAGCCTCACAAGTTCCCCGCAACTCTGCCAGATGAGCCACCACCAGCCTCCCTGGGGTCTCTGGAAGAGAACATGACCAGTTCTGCCCTGGGCCCCTGGCAGGTGCCGTGGGCATCAACTGTAATGAGAAGCGACAGGCACAATTGCCAGAGGAACATCCTGGCTTAGAGCTCATGCTTCCTAGAGTGGCTGGAGGGTTTCTCGAGCTGTCAAGAGGGTCCCCAAACACTCAGATACTGCATCCAATCTGGTCTTCCACATTAGCATCTCATTAGCATGGACTAAGGCCAAGCTGGGGCCTGGTCAGCAGCCCAGCTTTGGGTAGAAGGAGAACTCTGGTGAGCAGACAGGAGGAGCCCAGCAGCCTCCTCCTTCTCCCTAGCTCTGCCCAGCAATGAGAGGGGACTGAGCAGAGCCTTCCACCCAGTCCAGACACAGACCCGGCTACTAACACCCCGCCCAGGTTTTCTAGTACGGAAGGAGCAAACTGCAGCCGCTAAAGGCAAACAGTCATTAAACCCACCCTGGTTTCAACTCTTTCAGAGGCTGAGGACAGCACTGAGACAGCCCTCTGAAACCTGGTCTGGCTTCCTTCTCCGGTCCCACTGTGTCCTCAAATGTCCCTTGGTTTGAAGGCCGGAGCCTTCCTCTTTTTATTCTGTCTGGAATGCTCTCCCATCCCCTCAGCTAAATTCCACTGCTCCTTTGCCTCTGGTTCTAAATATTTTGCCTTTTCCAAGTCAGCTGAGAGATCATACCCACTTCTGGACAACAGGGCCACCGATGCCAGTGCCTGTTAAAGGCAATCTAAGTCCATAAAAGGGATTTGTGTGCATTGAAGAGGGCGCCCCACGTCCTATCTATCCTTGCTGGACTTACGGGCTTTGAGCTGCCAGAATCAAAGGCAGTTTGGGAACTTTCAGAGGGCCCAACCCTCATTTCCTGGATCACTGCCAACTGCATGCCCAGTCCCTTAGGGTCGGTTGGCTGGGGTCGAGAGATGTGCTCTGGAGAGCAGGATGTAGCTGGGGTGCATGCAAAGATCTGAGTTCAAAATGAGCTCTACGGCTGGCTGCTGCAGAGTCCTATGTTAGTCCCTCCTTGTCCCAGCCCCAGTTTCCCTGACTGTGAAGGAGGAGATTGGACCAGCTGTGACATTAGCTTGGGGCTCTTCCCACTGTGACAGTCTGTGATGCCAGCCTTCCCCCAGTACCCATTTCCAGAGACACCAAGATGATCAAAGCTGAGAGGTCACCGGCTCCGTTCTCCTGTTCTCAGACCAAAGAGCTCTTGAGAGGTTCCAGGAAGCTGTCCAACCCCACAGTCCGAGACCCACGGAGGAAATGTGTTTGGGAGACCATCTACGCCCACATCGCTCCCTGGGCCTCTCCCCTGTGGGGAAATTTTCCCAGCAGCATGTGTAGCAGACAGACCGCAGGAGACACTCCGAGCTGAGCACCCAGCACCGGATGGATGAGATAATCATAAATCCACAAATTGCAACAAGATAAAATTATCATTATATGAAGTTAAATTATTAATTAGCACCTCCAAAAAAAGACCAGCACCACCTGGTCTTGAATCTTGGAAGCTGTCTCTCTGAAAGCAACAGAAATATCAAAATAGCTTATCAGTGTTTCACAGCGTGGGCACGGTACCCCATGACTACGGAGCCTAGAAGCTTGAGGGCAGCTTCCAGCCAGGCAGCCTGCTCCGCCTGCCCTCTTCTAGCAGTGAGGGTGAGACAGGCCAGTTCAGATAAGGTTCCAGGGGAAGGAAAACAATCCATGTGACCCATTTTTATGACTGGAGAAACTGAGGCAAAGCACAAGGTAGAAAGCCCACAGTTAGAGGAGGTGTTTGTGTGCTGGGTTAGGAAGAGGGTAGGGTCTAAGACTGCCTGATTGTCCAAGGACTAATGACACTCATTCTATTGCATACCTACTATGTGCCAGGCACCAGGAGTATAGACATAAAGCCCATAATTCCGTGCCTTGAGGGGCACAATGGCACAGTGAGAAGCAGGACCAATATATTACCCAGTTCTACTCTCAGCTTTCTCCCACCTCTAGTCAAGGGACTTGGCCCTTTGTCATTACCGTTATTTCTACTGTCATCATCACATCACCATCACCTACTCTCCCCACCGACTCCTACCAGCCACATTTCCTCACTGAATCCGAGAACTGCAGCAGCTTAATGAGGGGGGAGGAGGCTTTTGAGAGCATCTTTCAAGCCAGGCATCAATCCTTGCTGTGGATGCCTGCTGAATTGTGACCCAGTGGAACACTCTCAGCAATAAGGGGCTGACTCACTGCCTCATCAATCAGCCCATTGCATCTCTGGGGAGCAATTCTTCACACGCTCACTTATTCATTCATTCCATGAGCATTTACCAAGCATCTACTAGAAGCTACTAGTTCTTGAGATACAGAGGAAAATATAACCCAGTGCCTTTCTATAAAAGTTCTAGCGAAGATAAGAGAGGCAAACAAATAACCGGGTGCATGGTGAGGTGGGTAGGGAGAGCACTTGGTACCTCTGATCAGGTGCGATGTGTGGGCTCTGGGAAGTGGCCGCCGTCACGATCCCCTGTCACAGATGAGGACACTGCAGCATGGGAGACTAGGGGACCTGCCCACAGTGACTCCATTGGAAAGTAGGATCAGGACTTACCCCTGAGCTGCCTGACTCCAGCTGAGGTCTTGGGCCCTAGATTAGGGATGGTGTCATCCCTTGCTGTTCGGCAAAGGCCTGCAGGCGACACACAACCCAGGCCCAGTGGTGCTCTGTGTTCTGTTCTCTCCATAGGTACTGGGAGTCCTCACCTAGGCAGTCTGCTCCCTGAAGCTCAAAACCGGCAGACGACCCTGAATCCCACAGGGTGGGCTTCAACTTGGATGGAGGTGGACACACAGACCACTTTGTCTCATGTCTTCTTCCTCTGTGTGTCCCCCAAATAGGACAAACTCCATGGCCCAGATCCGTCCTGGCTCCAGCCAAACAAGGCCTGAATAATTCACGGCCAATGAACAGCCCAGCCCTGGAGCCACCTTCTAGTGGCCAAATTGCAGAGAGGGTGGAAGACAGGGCAGCTGGACCCTGGAGGAGGCTGTGGTGGGACTTCCCAGAGCCACTAACAGCGTGGAAGGGAAGGGTAAACAAGGCCCCATGAATTATTCAGCCAAGCAGCCGCTGATGCGGCCTGGGGGTGGTGATGGCATGACAGTCAGACAAGTCTGACGTCAGCTCACCTAGAGTGCCCAGTGTGGCCAGACTCTGACCAGGGCCAGAGGGCAAAAGGTATCAGATAATGTACAAAGCCCCTGCCTGTGAGAGATACCAGAGCCAGGCAGAGCCTGAAACCTAGTCCTGGGTCTTCTGAGTGTACTCAGAAGATCACATGGTTCTCAGAGAAGGCTGGACTCCCAGCTGAGTCAAAGCATCCAAGCAGCTTGTCCTGGAACAACCCTTGAACCTCGCTTCCTCAGCTTTATCCGCGAGGAAACAGAAGCCAGGGCTGCGTTATGATAAGTCCCCAAATGTTCTCGGCGGCTGAGATAATAACTTCCCCACACCTGAATCTGTCGGTCCTGGCACAGTCAGGAGCCCAGTCCTGGGCACAAGGTGAATGGTAGGGTCTCTCCTGGGAGAACGCACACTACCTGTGCTGCAAGCATTCCATGAGGGAGGAATCTGAGCTGTCTGCAGGTCCTGTGCTGAGCCACCCAACCAGGCCAGAGGTACAGAACTGGCCGGCAAAGCCCGGCCTGACTGCACTCCCCCACTGATTGCTGTGTAAGCCTGGGCCAGCCTGTTTCCTTCTCTGGGCCTCAGGCTTTCCGGGCTCTGACTTCTATGACACTAAGACTAGGTGGGAAAGAGGGGCTGGCTGACCGTCCCCTCAGATAGGGCTACTCAGGTGGGAGGAAGCTTTTTTGGAACCCACGGAGTATGAGGCAGGCCTTGCTGGCAGGAAGCTCCAGCTCTCGAGTTTCTATCTTCCCCCCGAGAGAGACAGTGCTGTGCTGAGGACGGTGAAACTGCCGGCAACTGCTCAGGCCCACTGCATCATCACGTGGGGCTCCCACCTTGTGAGGAAGGATTTTCAGCATGGTTATGATTCCCAGAGTGAGGACATAGGCAGCAGCTTAGCCCAGAGAAACCAAGTGAGTCCTTGATCCAAGTCCACACAACCAGCAAGGGGCAGAGCCCATTCTAGAACCCCACCAGACCTGCAGTTCCCCTCATCCATGAAAAGACTGGCTTCTGAAGCAGGAGCGCCCACTGGTCACTGGCCCTGCTGGACCACAGACCCCCAGTCTGCTCCTAGCACAGCTCCCAGAGGCCAGGAGGCTACACAGGCACTTGGCTGGTCATCTGATGAACTTCACCAGGATCTAGTCCTGCTCTGCCACTTCCCAGCTATGAATAAGACTCTTTCCCTGAGAGGCAGCTTCCTTAAATGATTTGGGGGTTAATAATGTCAATCCCAGCCCCATGTGCTGTCCTGTGACTATAATGGACCTAGCCTCCAACCAGGAAGTTCAGGACAGGACTGGACAAAGCAGGGACGAGCACCCTGGAGAGGAGCAGGGCCTGAGCATGAAGACAGGGCAGCGGGGAGGAGGGGAGGAGGCCACCTGGGCAGAAGCCCAGAGAGCTGCCTAAGTGCTCTGTAATAAATAAGTGATACCGTATCAGCTACCACCTAATGTATCCATGGTGCGGTCCAGTGGGGTGGGCCCGGTAGGGGGCAGCCAAATGGGGAGGTTTATTATAGACTTGGCGGCCTTTGAGCTCACTCACATATTGCATCTCTTCTAGCTTTAATTGGCTCAGGGGTGGCAGGCTGACCCTCAGGGCACAGAACCTCTTCAGAACCAGAGGGCAAAGACATGCGGGGCAGCTGTTCCCTTGGGTCCCCAGCAATACTAATGCTGCAAGAGGTTTCTGGGAGCCCATGGCATCAGATCTGCAGGGGCTGGAGGCGCTCCTTTTCATCCATCCTCTCGGCACAGTGCCTTGTTCTCAGCCTTGGTTTACCTGCCTATAAATCAAAAAGAATACAGAAGCTTTGGAAACTAAGGTCCAAATTAAGGCTACCGGTTCCTCCAGCATAAGGGACTGGAAAAGATGCTCCATGCCTCTTCTGACCAGAGGAGCACACTGCAGGGGCCCTAGAGCCACTGGCTCCTCCAAGAGGAGGGGAAAGAAGAAGGAAGATATCTCCACGCAGTGCTGTTTCTACAGCACCCCCTGAACCCTTGTCAGTGATGAGGGCTCTCTCTGCAGACCAAAGGGTAAGGCTCTGCCTCTTAAAGGCTCAACACAAGAAGAGTCCCGTACCCTGAGGACCCAGAGCACACAAGGCTGTGTGTGACCGCCCCACTCCCTGTGACTTTCAGAATGCCTCTTTCTCTCTGGGTTCCCATATCACTATCTATTATAAGGAAGGGGAGGCAGAATCACCACAACTCAGTGTCTTCCAGACACACAGAGAGAACCCTAAACACCTGGCTCCAGCCTGGCTGGGACCACCAACTCACATAAGAGACAGAAGAACCTGTGACTGGGCCCCCAACTCCCTGTCCTTAAGCAGAGTTGTGTGGTTTCTGAAGCTTCTCCAGCCTGTGAATCTGTGGCCAGAAATAGTATGGTGGCTCCTTAAAATTATTAAGGATAGACATTGCCATGTGATCTAACAATTCCAGTTCTAGGTATAGAGGAAAGAGCTGAAAGCAAAGACTTAAATAGATATTCATACAACCACGCTCACAGCAGCAGCAGCGTTTGCAGTTGCCCAAAGGTACAGGTAACTCAAGTGTCCATGGATGGGTGGGTGAAAAATCCAAATGAAGTAGGTACATCGAACGGAGTACCATTCTGTCTTAAAGATGAAAGGGGGAAATGCTGGCATCTCATACACAGAGAAGCCTTGGAAATACCATGGAGAGTTAAATAGGTATGATTCCATTTCTACAGGGCACCTAGAATCGTCAAAATCACAGACACGGAAAGTAGAACGGAGATTGCCAGGGTCTGGAGAGAGTAGGAACCAGGAGAGGTGAAGTGGGAACCGAGGGTCAGTTTGCCAGATGAAAAAGTTCAGATCAGTTACACAACGATGTGAAAAAATGTAACACTACTAAAGTGTACATATAAGTTACTAAAATGAAAAATTTTATTTCACAGGTATCATTCTACATTTTGTTTTTGGAATGTAAGTTTCTACTGTCAGGGACTCCGTGCCACACTTTGGATATCAAGTAATCCTAAGGGAAAAAGAAAAGTAAAGACACCAAGGAAATTTGTTAATTAAAGGAAACTGTCGCACAGCCTTTGCAGCATGGAGAATGGAGGGAGGGTCAGAAAGTTCCTTGTCAGCCACAGTCCCTCAGGTTTGGCAAAACCGAGCACTTTTCTCTACCCGTATCATTGGCAGTGAGCCAGCACCCAGCCGGCTGGGGAGGCCCAGGTCCATCAGAGGCCCCTGTGGAGGTACCGGCCCCAGTCTGGCTGAGGTTCAAGGCCCTCTGCAGTCTGGTACAAGGAAAACTGTGCAGATTTCACTTCCTCCCCATGAACGACCACCACCCACCTGCATGGAGTACACTGTTTGAAGTTCCCTGAGGCCCCAGCAGAGCCAGTCACTTGGTCCCTCCACCTCTCCAAATCCCAGCTCCTTTGCTGTCTGATTGGTCCTCACAACTGCCTGCACCTGCCTCACCAACTAGACTGTGAGCTCTAAGGGAGAGGCTGGGTCCTGTCCAAGTCCTTTCCCTCCCACACCTCTCCTGGGAGCCTCAGTGTGGTACTCAGTAGGTCCTGAAAACATTTGTGCAGCTGGACATAGTACAATCCTTTGGGAGGCTGAGGCAGAAGGATTGCAAATTCAATCCCGGTCTAGGCAATATAATGACTCAGTGAGATACTGTCTATGAATGAATGGATGAATGAATGAATGGACTGGGGACTCAACTCAGTGCAAAGATCCTAGGCTCAATTCCCAGCTCTGCCAGAAGAAAGGAAGGAAAGAAGGAAGGAAAGAAAACTAAGTAAGAGTAACTCCATAAGAAGGCTCTGTATTCTCTATTCAGAAGGAAAAATTAAGTCCCAAGGATCTAAAATGCCCAAGCTGGACCACTCTGGACAGGATAATCTTATCTTTTCTCTCTTCCTCTCCAACCCCTCCCATTTCCCTCTCACCAGTCCTGGGAATTGAACCCAGGGCCTTTGCAGTTATCTATATCCCTAGCCCCTACCGCAATTTCTTTTTTATTCTGAGCCAGGGTCTTGCTAAATTGCTGAGTTGTCCCAACTGGGCTTGAACTTGCGCTCCTCCTGGCTCAGCCTCCTAACATGCTGGGATTTCAGGCATGTACCACCACACCTGGCTTCGGGGTCACTTAGTCAGAACCACAGGCCCTAAGAGTCTCACTGGGACCCAAACACTGGCTAGGTGTTTTCCATGCTAACCTCTTTGAATCCTTCCCAGAGCCTTGTAAAGGAGAAGTTGTGACTGTGCCTATTTTATAGATCAGAAAGTTGAGGCTCAGACACAGAACTTCTGCCTCAGGTCTCCCAGCTGGGTCTTGAATCCAGCTGTGTCCATTTCCCCAGCAGGTGCTAAGCTGTGAGAGAGTAAGCCAGATGGCCACCTGCATGGTTCCCTGTGAGTCCTGAGAACAGCTAGGCCACCTCCTCATCCTGCCCTTGAAGGCGCAAACCCAGCGTTGCCACTCAGCCCAAGAGGAGCCTCAGTGCTGCTGCTCTGGTTAGCATGCCGATGCCTGATGGACTCTGGCACTGAGCCGCTGCTGCCCTGCTACTGCCTCGGCAGTTCTGTGCATTAGCTCCGCAGGGAAGCAAATGAAAACAGCAGCGAAGGAGAAAAACCCCTTCTCTCCTGTACTGCCATTCCTGCCACCCCAGCCAAATGCTGCTGCTGCTGCTGAGGTGTCCCCCCAGCCCAACCCCCGGCTGGAGTGTGGGGTGAGGGTGATTGGAGGTCCTAATATCCCAGAAAGTACTGAGAAGCTTGGGGAGTCTTTTACCTGCTTCTCTGGTTCCAAGTGGGCCTGGCTTCTGCAGGTGGTCTCCTGGTTTTCCCCAAGATGCCAAAGCCCATACAATAAGACACAGACCATGCAGCGGGTCTTGATCCCTGCACCTTGACAGGGGAAACAGCTGACATTCAAGGCAGATGAGAATGATCTGTACCTTGTATTGGACCAGGGCTTAAAAATTTAAAAAGTACTTCCATAGTTTTAATTAATCCCTAAACAATCCTGAGCTACAGGAGCCAATATTCCCTATCCTCTTACTAAGCACAGGGCACTGTTCTAAGAGTTCTACCTGTATTATCTCATTTAATTCCCGCAACCATACTGTGGGCTAGGAATTACTACCAGCACCTGTGTAAGCCAGGTGGAAAAACAGGCACAAAAAGGTTAAAGAATTTTTCCCAGGTCACATGGATTCTGGCTTGTCTGGCTCAGATTTAAGCCCAGGCACTGTGATTCTGAATCCAGGTGTCCTCTTACCTTGTCCTGCTGTTTAATGATTTTGGTGCTGGGCACTTGGTGAGTATTTTATTCCTACCAGTAAGGAATCAGGCTCCCTTCCATAAACTACCCACAGCCACACAGCCAGCAAAAGGCCGAGGCAGGAGTTGAATGTGGCACTACCTGACCTCAAGATATGCCCACCTTAAAACATAACATGACTCTGCCTGTGCTTCAAATGAGGAAGCAGAGGTTCTCTGTGACTGTAACTGACCAATAGTCACAGCCTGCAGCTGGGTAGCAGAGCTGGGACTGAAGAACAAAGCCTTGGATTCCAAATCCGAGAAAGATGAGAGTTAAGGATGTCATTAAAGACAGACCTACAAGGCAAACCAGAGGGAAGGGACCAGAAACAAGGAGACCAAGGTATAGATGCAGGGAAACGGGAGGAGCTGGCAGTCAAGGTTGGATAAGGGCAGGCCAACTGTTATGGTTTGTGTCTGGGTGTCCCCCCACATCCTCATGCAGTCGTGGGGCAGGCTTCTAGATATCTGATTGATCCATAGTCTAATGCTGGGATTATGGGTGTGAGTGCTACACTCACCTTGGGGCAGATAGTTTGCATATGTAAGGGAGAGAAAGAGGCTGCTTGCAGCCACTCCTCCCTTTTTGCTCTTGTTGCTTTGCTATCTTCTGCCACCATGAACTGTTGCCTTCTGCCATGTGCCACTCTCCTTTGGAGCCAGCCAAGTATAGACTGAAATCTCCGCACACTGTAAGCTAAGGGCAGGGGATAGAGCTCAGGGGCACAAGTACCTGCCCGGCAAGTGCAAATTCCTGAGTTCAATTCCCGGTACCAAAAAAAAACCTGTAAGCTAAATAAACCTTTCCTTTCTTAATTCTGGGAGTCAGGTATTTTGTCTCAGCAATGAGAGAAAAGTAACCAAGACGCCAACCTTGTTGGCCATCCTGGAGGAATGGCCATGAGAAAGATAAGTAGCTTTAACCCCAGTGCCATTTGCCACCCATGTGACCTTAGGCAAGTCACTTCCCAGCCCATGCCTTGGCTCCTTTCCCTAGAAATGAGAACGATAGCACTGTGTACCTCATAGGGATCTAAGGAGGAGGATATACAAAGCGAAGAATGACGCTCCTGGGTGCTGGCCCCAAGCCAGACACCTAAGGGAATATTGTGTACAATACACACAATCCTGAAGATGAGTATTATAGACCATGTTTTACATAAATGAGGAAACTGAGGCTTGAGAATGTAAGCATTTCAGCTAAGGAAGGTCTCAGATGAATAGCGAAGGTGGGATTTGAACTTGGGGCGCGCTTCATGTGGGAGAGGCGTGGCTGATGCATCGGGGAACATGGGTCTTGGAGGAGAAGGCTACCGGGCACTGGGAAGCACTTGCTGGTCTGAGGGTTGGGGTGTGACTTCCAGCGGCCACTGCTTTCTCCTCTGGAAACCGGAGGTTTCTCGAGTGTCTGCCCCGACTTCCTCACCTGCCAGTCCTCATCTGAGCACAGGGGACACTTCTTCCCACCCTGGTGCTCCGTAAATGGAAACAAGGATGCGGCTTGATTAAGACAGCGGGAAGCAGGTGCAGCTCCTGCCTGTAGAGAGATGAGGGGCATAATCGGATCCAAATGGAGGCAGATGTTCAGAACTGGGCACAGATGCCCACACCCCAAAGTCTGGCTCCTGGCTTCCACCCTCCCTCGTCTGCCGGAGACAGTGGGTGAGGTGAGGGAGGAGAGCCTGGAGCAGCTGGTACCACTGGGGGCTGCATCCCAGCCCTTTGGTGGCCTGGAACACAGGCTCTAGACCAAACTACCTGGATTCAAATTCTTGTCATTTCTTAGCCAGGAAAACGTTTTTAGGTAAATAGCTCTTCTGTGCCTCAGTTTCCTCATCAAGAAAATAAAGTGTTAATGTTACAGCCCTCATAGAGGCTGCGAAAGGCAAAGTGGAGCAGGCCCTGGATGACTAGACCTGGCTCCGAGTAGAGCAGGCACTGGGTGCTAACAATCATTATGGTCATGACTTATAGACCCACAGATGGGCCCGGCAGAGCCACTGAAGCCTGTGGTCCTCCCTGACATGGCCCAGGTCCTCTTTTCTGGCTCCTTTGTAGCCTGGCAGCCATCGGCTCACACTCTGCCTGCCCTCCCACACTGCTTGCCTTTGCACACACAAGCGCTAACCACAGGATACCCTCCCTCCCGCATTAATAAGGGGCTTTATGACTCTTCCTGTAAGACCCAGCTCTTGCATTCTGTTCTGTCACCTCCTCTGTCCTCCCTCAACGCCTACACTTCCTCCATGGCCTCCAATACCCGGCTGACTCCGCACCTCCCAGCTGTGCCGCGGCTGTGCATATGGACGCCTCCACCCGAGTAAGCACCTTGGAGGGTGGAAATGACGTCATCTTCGTGTCCCCTCCACACTCCCAGGTCTTGGCTCAGTGCCTTAGCCAGGAGGATGCTCAGCGAACAGGAGCTTGCGAAGGGAGAAGGAGAGGAGGACACAGCAGAGGAAGAAGAGGCAGTCCTGTGCCCTTCCCTTCCCAGTGAGGGAGAATTCCTCCTGGTCGTCTACAACAAATGCCATAGAGTCCAGGAGGAAGGAGAGCGCTGTGATCAGTACGAGCTGGGCATCCCTGCTAGGACCACTACAGAGGTCTCTGACAAGTCCAAAGAGATACATAGAGACAAACTTATTAGAAGACATCAGATCTTAGAAAGGGGCAGTGACTCATCTCGGCCATCCAGGGAACTCATGTCAGAGCTGGAAGCAGCCTGAGCCCGGCCTCTCTGGAACAATTGCCACTGTGCCATATAGTCACTTTTGCTCTTCTGGCCCTGTGCCCCGCACCGTGCCCTCCCCCACACACGCCCACAGGCTGTGCCGGGGTGCCGGGTGAACGTTTATCAGCAGTGAGTTTTGCAGGGAATTCCAAATTACAGGGCTGGGCCGTTGGGGAGGCAAGGCTTACAGTGAGGCAGGGAGACAGGATGTGAGTGGCAGAAATCCTCGGCCTTCTTGCTCTGGGACCCAGGAATGCTTGTTCCAGAGGAGACCTTTGAGATCCCCAGCCCTACCTGTACCCCTGCCAGAACAAGGAAATGGAGACAATTCTCCTAGCTTCCTGGCTTTGGGCCTCAGAGCAGCAGCACGGCTGGCCGGCCCAGCCTCATTTCTCCTTTCCTTTGCCAGCACCTGCCCCAGGACCCCTTCTTGGCCTGAAGAGTGGCTTCCCCTTAGCCCTCCCCACTCCTTTCCCAAGATCGCAGAGGCAGACAGCGCTGTTCCTGCCCCTGGGAGTGGAGCTGGCTGAAACTCCCCCAACAAATGACAGCGGAATTACAAGTAGATGAAATAGTACTAATGGGTGGAGCAGGGGTCAGACAGCACAGAACCAGAGGGCGACTGTTCCTCCCAGGGAATGGGGTGGCATCTGGTGACTTGCTCATTGGCCCTGTGCTGGGCTTGCTTGGCCGAGGGCCAGGGAGTCCCGGTCCTGCTCCCACATCAAGGCGATAGAAAGGAGGGGAAGGGAGGGAGGAGAGAAGAGGATCAGCTGAGTCTCTTCTGAGACTCGGCCCGCCCTAGGCGCTGGGCTGAGCACTTTACCTGTTACACACATTATCTCATTTAATCCTCACAGCACCCCACAAGGTGGACATCACTGCATGGATGAGGAAATTGAGGCTCCAGGTTGATGGCTTGCCCAGCCTCACAGAACCAGAAATGACAAATCTCATGTGATGAACTGTGCATCAGGGGAGGGAGAAAATAGACCAGACCAGACACTAGGAAAAAGCTGAGAAGTCACTGACTCCTTCCCGATCCCATCCCTTTCCACAGCGAGAATCCAAGTTCCAGAGGGAGCCCAGCTTGCCTGAGCTCGCACAGCAAGACAGTACCCTTTCTGCGCCTAAGCGCACCTTTCTGTGCCGGAGCTGCGGTCCCCTTTCAGTGCTGTGAAGCTGTGCAGGACAGAGGCCCAGGACTACAGTACCTGCCTGTGCCTGGCTGCTGGTCACTGACTGATTCCTCCAGGAGCAAGGGAAACACCCACTGCATGATACGAAAGTATCCGGAAGGAAAGACAAGGCGTGGAGCCTGCAGATGCGGTGGGCAGAATGGATGCCCTGCGGGTCCCCAGGAGGATGGAGAAATGGTGGAGCTCGCACTCTGCAGGCACTGAGAACTTCCTCTGAGGCATCCTGGGTTGCTTCCCCATGTCCTGCTTTGACTATCAGCCCAGACTCACTGAGCTGGTACGTGGGAAGGTCTAGCAGGGCACCCGATATACAGAGAACGCTCCGAAAATGCTCATCTATTTCCTTCTTATGGGAGAAGTCTTCCCAAGTTAGGAGAATAAATCATCTGGAGGGAAGCCATGGGTCTTTATCGGGTGTTTTATTGGGCACCTACTACAGCGTGTCACATCCAGGAAGGGCTTCCTGCAGCCACCCCGAGCCCCTCCCCCCCGCCCTGGCTCTCTTGTGGGTTGACTTCAGCTGGTTGTGAAATTCCCGCAGTCCACACCAAGACATTCCCAGCCTAACCACACCCTACCCATTAAACATGGAGTATCTTCCCACAATTGGATCTCTTGAGCCCAGCCCAAGGGAACAACTCATCCGAGGTTAGATACAAATGCAAGATTTGTATAGCATGGCTATAAGAAAAAGTTATAAGTAGCTTGAAAAAACACTCAAAAGGTGTGAAATGCGCTCCTGAAATCCTGGATCAGACTGAGGAGCTCATCACTGAAAATTCCAATCATTTCTCCCAATCTGAAGTTTCAAGTAGCCTTAGGGAAATCCTTCCCTCTGGAGTTAGGACCTCTTATAGGCAAGCCTCTTGGCCTTTTTCCTTAGCTGTCCAAGGCAGAACCAACTGTGAGAGCACATCTGTCCCCTCTTGAAATCCTCCTGCATCACTAGGAAAGAATCTGGGAGTCAGGTAGTCCTAGCTCAGAGCCCAACTCTGTCCTCTTGCTAGCTGTGTGATTACGATCAGGTTGCTTAACCTCTCTGAGCTTTAGTACCCACAGAGAAAAATGATAGCAATCCTGACTTGCCCCTTGGGGTGGTCCAAAATTTAAATGGGATAATGCAATCAGAGTGGCTTTCACACTGCCCAACTCACAGGAGGAGCTCAATGAATGGAAGCTGTGATTATTAGACTCGAGCCCCTAGCTCCAAATCAATGGCTGTGTTTCTCTGCACTGCCTGCATGATGTGAACTTTGTGCCCTACGAGAACCAGCAAAGTCCTTTCCCCTAGCTACTCCCACCCCCAGTGTCAGAGGATAAGGACAGCCACACATGGCTGGGGATGGCTACTGGTTCCATTAGCAGCCAGGGAAGGAGTAGAGACACCCACTTCCATAAGAGGCAGGTGATTTTCCAATTTACCCACCGATAATGGAAGCAGAGTGAATGAGGCCAGAGGGGAGGGCGGCTGAGAAGAGGCAGTGTTTACAAGGACAGAAACACCTGCCCCCCAGGCCCTCTGCCCCTGGCCCAGAGCAGCAGTTCCGAGATCCCAGGCCTATGCTGGCCCTTGGACAGATGCTCTGCCATTTTCCCCTGGGGTTCCAGAGCGTAACCTGTGAGAATGGCCACTCCCCAGGATACTATAACCTGGGACTAGCTTTGCTGACAGGTACTTCTCAAGCTTCTACGTCTCAGCCCCTTTCTCTCTATCTGTTTTGTCCCATTTGTCAGAATTGCAAACATGCCTAAAGATTCCCAGAGACCTGGCTTTGCCCCACTGGCTCTTGGTCAGAGACTTGTGGGCCAGACCATGGCCAGCTGCAGTCAGAGGGCAGGTGGCATCACAGGCTGCATGGGAGGAGCCCCAGGAGCAGAGGCAAGTGCAAGTGGGGATGGCAATGCAACATGGAAGCAAAAAGTAGGGAGACCACAGTGGATACAGGACCCCCTCATGCTCAGGAAGTGGCTCCTCAGACCAAAAAAGCCCTTGATCACAGCACTGGCAAGAGCCAAAGTCAACACTCAGCTTGGCCAGCAGCTCAGCTGAGTTCTTCGTTTCTCCCTCCCTGGGACAGCATGGGTCCTGTTCCAGGCATGGCTAAGGCCACAGAAGGAAGTATAGAGGTCCAGATATCGAGGGACAAGACAGGCAAGCCAGCCAGGGCACACAGTGGGCATCCCTGGGTCGGGGAGTCACAGCACTGTGCCCCTGGCGTATGCTTAGTGTGGACAAAGGGTCTGAGCTGCAGCTGTGCAGCAGGCCAGGTAAGAAGTGCTGACCACAGGCCCCCAGAGCAGGCCTCTTGGGAACTGAGAGAAGCAGTAACATAATCCAGGGGACTGATGGGATGGTCTAGGAGCAAAGGCAACGAGCCAGAGCTTGGAGGAGAAGCAGCAGCGGCCACCGTGGAGACAGCAAGACTGTCAGCTGTTTCCTGTGAGGACTCAGTCTAGTTTGCTTCCCGTGCTTGCTCAGGAAATCTTCACTGGATAAATGGATGGATGGATGGATGGATGATGGATGGATGATGGATGGAAGGATGGGTGGATGGATGGATGGGTGGATGGATGGATGGGTGGGTGGATGGATGGGTGGATGGATGGGTGGATGGATGGGTGGATGGATGGATGGATGGGTGGATGGATGGATGATGGATGAATGATGGATGGAAGGATGGGTGGATGGATGGATGGGTGGATGGATGGGTGGATGGATGGGTGGATGGATAGGTTAATGAACAAATAAAAGGGCAACAAGTCATTAAATATTAAAAGCTACAGATGTGGGGGTGGGGCTTCTTTTTCTGAATCCTTCAAACACTCCCTCTCATGCTCCATGACCCAAGTATGCTTGACACATCTTATTACCAGGATGATGCTACTGGTGTCCTGGTCTTCACTCTCCGGCACAGCAAGCTGCTATTACTGAGGGAGCACTGTACCTGGAGTCATCTCCCCATCCAAAGCTGGCTTCCTAACTTGGTACCAGACTGATGTAAGACCCCAGGTGAGGAGTCATCCCTGGGGTTTTAAGTAGCTCGGTTGTCAGTGGTGGGGTCAGGCAGGGCTGTTCTCCAAGCACCTTTAGGAGGTGGATATGCTGAGTCTGGAGGCACAGGACAGGCCCTGCTCTGTGCAAACTGCCCCTCTGTGCTCACTTCAGATTTCACCTCCTTCTGCATTCAGTCTCAGGAGCCCCTCTGAGACAAAACCTTGGTTTCAGCCACCCCTCTATTCCCCAGCACCGCCCCAAATGCTGTAGCCACACAGTAGGTTCAGGTTCATAGATCTAGGACTAGAATGAGCTTCAGGGGATCAGGCCCAGCCCAATATCATCTGATGAAAATTCAGTTCAAAACCAGAAACATTAAGTGCTTAGCTTCTGTCACGCACCGTGCCAGACCCAGTGGTACACAGACTCGGCTTAGGAAGGACTTGCCAAGAAAGCATCACATCCCTTCGCTCCCCATCTAATGTGCTGGGCTGATCTGACACACACGCAAACCCAGTCCCCAGGCTTGAGAACTGGATGGCTTTAGAAGCTTCCGTGGCAGAGGGGGCTGGGTGTTCTCTGGGCAAGACAGAGGAGACTGCGCTGGCTTTGACTGGCAGGCAGGCTCAGAGGGATGCAGCAGCTTCCTCACAACAAGGATCAGGGATGGGCTATTAGAGGCACCCTGTTGGGCCCCTTATTCCTGGGCACTGCCAGGGTGTCCGCCAGCCACCAGCATCCTCCTCCCCGATTGTACTTCTCCATGCATTCTGTTGCCCCTCAGTCTGAAGCTGGTCCTTG